TTCCATCGAAAGTTTTGAAGGTAGGAGGCACAAACCCCTTAGGATATGAGACAGAATCAAACTCCTCTGGGTAGGGTCTACCCTTTGGAACTAATGATCCTCCCTTGGACTGGGTTATGGCCTCTCTAACCTGCTGGTCCACATATTGTTTAATATCCTTTTCAGGTACCGAGCTCTGAACGGAGTTTCTTTTGGGCTCATCCTCTTTATTGGCAGAAGTGGCATCCCTTCTGTCATCTTTGATATGCACTATGTCTGGTGGCTGCACCTCCACAGCTGCTGGAGTTAGAGACCGTGCAGACATCACAGCGATTGCAGCAAGCACCTTTTCCATTCTTTTCTCCAATCTAATGATATGTTCATCGCGACTCTGAACTTCTCTTCGAGAGCCTGTCTCGGTGTCTTCTTCATCGGAAGGTGGAATTTCTCGTAAGGCTGCTTGGGCTCTTTTGTCAACCATATTGATTTCCATGAATTCTTCATCAGAATCTGTATCGACATGGCTGATTCCTTGCTCATTGGCTAGCTGGCTCAAGTCAGTTCATAATTTGTTCAATTTAGCCTCGATTGAGTTTTCTTCAGCTGCTTTGATATCCGGCAGAGTCAGTTGCAATTGTTTCTCCCCTATTTCTGTAGTTGGGGAAGTCATAGTAGCATCGGTCGAGCTATCAAATTCGTCCTTCTTTCTTGTAGAACAGTCCTCCATCTCTTCCAAACAAACCGGTCTAAAGACTTTGGGAATCCAAACCTTCTTCCTTAGAGATGTATGGGAATAGGGTGTCACGTTAACATCATCAGAATCGTGGGAAGCGGTATGTTCCCCATCAAGTAATCTAGACCTTGTAGTAGAAGCCTTCTTATCGTAAGAATCTATAAAAGACTTCTTTTGTACTATGACAGGCTGGATTCTAGGACCTAACCGGGATTTGACCGGTATTATGCTTTTAAGTGGTTTAGTAGTGGTAACGGGAACTAAAACCGTGTCAATTCAAGGTCCTAAACGGAGTTTAGCAGATACACGAGGCA